ACTTCTAGTTCTAGAAATTAATGTGTTTGAGTTACTCTGTTATAGATATGTTATTTGGTCTAGCTAATGGCACTAACTTCCATTCAGGAAAGCCAATTTTGGAAGCTTTACAAAGAAGACCAACCTTCTTGTTCAATTATTATGAGAACTGCAATGGGGCTAGTGCATATTCTTGCATGTCTGTTGGAACCTTTTATTCCATCTTTTTCTGTGAGGTAATCTAATAGGTGCACATATTTTCTACTGGTGTGATTGGAAATAATCTTGTTACATATAGTGCTAGCTGTTTAACTTGATTTCTCATGCTACCAGTTCCATTTTTTTGTGCACTTAAAGGTATTTAAGCAGCTTAATTTGCCTACTCAAGGACAAATTTCGCTTTGTGATGAGAAAGGAGAGGTTGATAAGGCTAGAAGACTGTGGGAGATAATACCTGCTGGGCATAAAATTGGAGATCCAAAACCTTTGTTTGAGGAACTGGTATCAGTACCTATTCTACGCCATATGCCAATATGCCATCTTCTCCTTCATTTTATTTATTTGTTTATTTATTTATTCATTTATTGTTATTATTGTGGCTTGGGGTTGAAGGATTAGCATGGTACTTCTTTTTCTTTTTGGTCATACTTATAATGTAAAAATTAATTAATGACAGAAAACTGAAATAGTTGAAGAACTGAGGCAGCAATATGCTGGCAGTCAAGCTGATAGGCATGATAGGGCAGAGGCTGATGCTGCTAAGACTGCTGAGCAGCTGAAAAAAACAAAAATTTCAGGTTGAATATTTTTCCTCTGTTTAAGTCATCCTTCGAATTCCTTCTTTCAATGATTTACCATTTAGTAATGTTTGAGGACGTCTGGATACAGTGGCGCCACATGGTGGATGGTGGGGTCCGTTGATTCTACTGAAATTTGAAAAATTTTTATAATATATGTATTAATATATTACCAATTGTTAACTAACTCCACCAAAAAAAAAATTTAAAGATAAGTTCGCCCCACTAAAAGGAAAATTTGAAGATTAGTATATGTTATAGTAAAATATAGTAACAGAATATGAGGTCATATAATTAATGAAATATAGAGTTATTTAATTTTTGTTTCAAAATAACTAGTCAAAACAATTGAAGATAAGAAAAATATTATTATTTATCCACTAGTTTTTTAATAATAAAACTGGGCTTTTTATTTTGCCAATTATGATGGTAAGCATGCAAAGAATTTTTTCAGCAATGAAAACCGTGAAAAATTTAACACTTAAACCAATAGAAGATAGCATGATAAATAATTGTTTGATTATATATATTGAAAAAATGTTTGGTATATTAATGATGAAGCACTTATATAACAATTTTTTAAATATTGAATCTTATTATGACAATTGTGAAAGAATATTTTTACATTTGAATATTTTTTGGATTATTATATTTTATATTTGTGATGGAGTTTTTAAACTTTACAAGTAAGATAAGATAGCTGCTATACGTTCATTTTATAATGAATTAATTTGTAATTTTTAAATATATTTAATGGATATGCTTTAATTCTTTAAGATCCATTATAAAATTTAAAAACTCTACTGTTAATATATAAGAAAACTATCTTCTTCTTCTTTTTTTTTAATTATTTTTGGTAATAACATTGTTATTATTTAAAAATTATAGATGAAAACTTTAATTTCATATATTTTTAATATTTTAAAAGATAATATTCCTATAATCCCTTTTTGTATGTTCCCTTTTTATTTTCATAGAAATAAAAAAATTGTGTATATTATAACATTTTAACAAAATTGATGGTGTTTCATAATTTTTAATATAAAAAGTAAATAATAATTTTAAAAAATTAATATGAAGTATAAAAAGGAAGATGTATTACGTGATTAAAAAAAAGTGTTTGAAAAATGAAAAAATTTTGAAAAGATTTAAAAAAGACAAATAAACAACGAAAATGTATTTGAAGAAGTGTAATAGCTTTTTGACCTCATTGAAAAATAATTCTAGCTGCGCTACTGTTTGCATAGATCATTCTATGGTTTTCTGTGTCAACTCTGTTTGTTGACTCATTACTCGTATTGTATAGCCTTAGTTTTTTTCTTTTTTTTCTCTAACTTTTATAAATAATTGATTGAGAGAATCTATGCAAGGGATGTGTTTACTTTATGGTTAACTTTCATTTAAAATTTTTTTCTTTACTTGAAAAAAAAAATGAAAATATATAGATCCACTCCTCTCTTGGGCTCTAAAAAGTTTTTGCCTCTTCTTTCTTTTTTTATTTTTATTTTTTATGGGTCTTTCTCTTTGCCTCTCTTTTTCCTCTTATTTTTTCACTATAATTTCTTTTTCATCTCTATTAATCCTTCCCTCTTTTTTTTTTTTTCAAAATTCTTAACTAGATCTTTTCCTCTCATCCTAATGCAAATAGATCAAACTCTAAACTCTTATTCCGTAAACATTATCTATAAATGTTTGGGCAATATCAGTCTTCAAAAATAGACTATCTCCCCCTGCTCAGGCACCTAACTGCTAAGGGTCAATGAGATCCTTGAGTTTGTTATGTCTGCAACTTGTCAAGGATCTAGGGTCCTTATTTCCTTTTCATATATAATCCCGTTTGAGGTTGTTATGTTTTAACTTTAGTGTATTTGATGGTGTTAGTTTAAATATTTTTCATAATATTGATATTTAAATTTTAAAGTTTATAATGCCAAAAAGTTAAAAAAAAATAAAAATTAATATAGGTTGAGAAAAACTAAAAAAGTGAGCATTTTTGGTTTTCACAGAAGGAAAGTGAACATAGTTAGATTGAAATTGCCTGAAATAACTAAGGGTGATTCCTACATTCGAAATTTTCATTAACTCTATACATCAGCTTATTACTGCTGCTCTTTTGGGAACTCTTTTTGGAGCTTTAGCATTTTGTCTCTAGAAGTTCATTTCAAGATTTTATCTAAGTTAAAATCTGTTCTGAAAGCAATGGCAAACAATTCTCTGTTCTTCGTTGTTAGATATGTTTATACCTGTTATGTGGAGGTTTTAAATATGTGCTTGCCTATAAGCTGTTTTTTATGACAGATGGCAAGAAACAAGAGCCAACAAAATCTGCAGCTGACTCTAAAGCAAAGCCTACTACTGAACCAGAAATTTCCATTACAAGACTTGATATCCAGGTTGGCAAAATTATAAAAGCTCAGAGGCAGCCTGATACTAATTCATTGTACGTTGAAGAGATTGATGTGGGTGAAGCCCAGCCTCGAACAGTTGTTAGTGGACTTGTCAAATATATTGCTCTGGCAGAGATGCAGGTATTTGCTTTCTGCCTCGTAAATTATTCGAGATATTGGTATATCTTTTTCGGGGGAGATGGGGTGCTTCATGCTTGGTATTGTACAACTTTTAGATATCAATAGTGAAGGTTTTTCTACTCCTAATCTCTTCTCTAGATGTATTACCGGGCAGGATCGGCTGGTTTGTGTTCTTTGTAATTTGAAGCCAGCAACCATGCGAGGTATAAAATCACATGCAATGGTTCTTGCTGCTTCGAACAGTGATCACACGAAGGTAAGCAAATAGCTTTCATTATTGGCATCAACCTATGCATTATTTAAGCCAGATGTAGAATTTTGTGCTGTTGAGTAAAGTGAGCGGGTGATTCAACAGTTGCATTATAGACCATTGTAGGCTTGTATGGAGTCAACATTTATGTGGTTTATTGATAAAGTGTTGAATTCTTAGTACCAGTGATCAAGTTATAATTTCAAGCACCAAAAAAAAAAAAAAAAGACAGAAGCTTCCTGTCAAACAAAATAAGAATTTGGTTGCGCTTATATGATGGTTCTAAAAATACCTTTCATGTTGGTGCTGTTAATTTTGTTGCGCTCTCTGGTGGAATTGGTTGAACCACCAAAGTCTGCCAGGGTCGGAGAACGAGTTACCTTTCCTGTTTTGACAGGTGAGCCTGATGATATCTTAAACCTGAAGAAGAAGGTTTGGGAGATTCTACAAGTGGATCTTCACAGCGACGCAAATCTCGTGGCCTGCTACAAAGATATTCCTTGGACCACATCCGCCGGGGTTTGCGAAGTTTCATCCATTAGCAATGGGTCAATTAGATAGATTCTTAGATCACCGAAGAGCATCGACCTTCCAACGCAAACGCCGCCCCCCTCCAAAGGAAAAATAGGAAAACCGTTATTTTTATTTTTATAACTATTATTTTCATTATTTTCTTTATTTTTCCCTTTTTTTGTTTTGAATATTGGCCAATGAATTTATTTCCAATTAATTCATAAATAGAATATTGTAATGGTAGGATGATGGTCTTTTTTTTTTTTCTTTACAAAGTCGCAAGAAAGTAATAGGAATGTCCAAAATTTTGTTTAGATGGGGAGAACTGGCTGATCTTGGCAAGATAAATTGTCACTTTCGCATGTTAAAACCTAGCTTTTTTAGCTTTGGTTTGATGATATTTCAAACTTAATTTTAATTTTTTAGGTTTCATAATAGTATTGTTATTTTTTGATACGAGGTTTGTTTGTTTGTTTGTTTTATTTTTTAATGTGATTGTTATTTTAGTTTATTTTTTAAAAATTTTGTTTGTTTTTTATTTTTAATTTTTATTCTAGTAAAGCAGTATGATTAGATTTTTTTTCAAGAGAATTTTAAAAATTTTAAAATTTTATATATATTTGTATAAAAAGCTATAAACTTCTCGGAAAAACATCCGTTGTGCCAAGTTATAATTAGTGAAAAAATAGATTTTATAATCCAAACTTATAATTACTAACCAAAAAAGGAGAATACGTGAGTCTCAGAAAAAGCCAATTCAGGTAACATTAAACTTGTTTACATCATCAATCAATCAAATCCAGCGATCCCACAATTTCCCTTCCAAAATAAAATCTCAACCGTCCAAAATTCTAATCCAACGTCCACAATATGCCTTTTCCCCATAAATATTCTTACTCACGCGACTCCTGCTTCCCGGCTTCCTTTCTCGAATCGTTCTTTCTAGTTTTTCCTCTCTTTTTTTCCACATTTAAAAAACAAAAAACAAACGAAAAAAGAAAACCGTGAAAGAAAGCAGCTAAGATTGGTTTCGTTGCAACCCTAGATCTGATTTATTTTAAAAGGTTAGTGTCCATTTCACTTTCCTGTCATTTTCTTTATATATATATATATATATTGTTTTTCAAATTTTTTTGCTTGTGAAGTATGTCGGCAATTTTGGTGTTAAGAAGCCTTTTGTTTTACTTTTTGAGGAATGGGTTTAATGAGTAAGGTCAGATTTCAACGGAATGTTTCTTTGGGTGGAGGGTTTTGGAGGGTAGTACATTATGATTTTATGGGTAGTTGAAAGATATTTTCCTTCCTCCATTTTCTAATTTTTTTGGTATTAATTTGCTGCCAAATTTTGATTTTTCTAATGATAGAAAAACAAAATAGAAAGAAATCTGATTGATTGGCAATGCTATGGTGTTTAAAGAAGGGATTTAAGTGCTATAATTGTAGGGTATCTTTCCTTGGGATTAGTTTGGATTTTGGGACCTTCTTATAAGATATCCAGTATGCTTAGGCTGTTTTTGAACTTAGGCTCAAGTCTTTGGTTAAAGATTGGATGGAATTTTAAAAGCTGATGGATCTTTAAGCCGATAGCTTCGGACAGATTCTTTAGGCGAAATGGACTTAGGGGAGGTTTTAAGGCGATGAAAATGGGATTTCGGTGGTTAATTGTATTGATTAGTTAATCAAAGAGCAGTGTAGTTTTTCCGTTATTTGGTAGTGGTTTAATGCCTGCTATGAGTTAATTTTTTTTTTTTTAATAGATGGATTCAAATAGGTTGCGGTACTAACTAGTACGTCAATCTCAGCACTCATGTTGGACCCGTTGAGCTAAAGCAAGGTGCAGTTGCAATTGCTACTGTAGCATAAAAAGTTCATTGGAATTTGATAAGATTGGTGTCATTGCAGGCTTATGGAAGTCTGATTATGGGCTGAATTGTCTAGATCGGCTGTGATGTGCTGTGTAGCTTATTGCTGCATGACATCACTGTTTCGGTGATAGATGACAATGGCAGACAGGACACGGAAGTAGAATGATTTTGTAGTTCATTCCTTCTTAGGAAAATAAATTCTATAGGAGAATAAGCAGTTTTACTTTTAGTTCATTTTTAATATAGAGACCTGTTCTGGTGCATAAAATTGACTTTGCCTGCGGAGAGGTCAGTGTTCCTAAATATAGATGGAACAGCTAGAAATTAAGTTCAAAATATTCGCTTATTGAAACTCACAATGGGACAAGCAGGTGTTTCAGGTGTTCTAGGTAGTAATTCTTAGGTTGTTGTTTTGACTTATTCTCTAGATCTACACCTGTCCGTGAATGCTCAGTCCGTGTTGGTGATATCTTTAAAACAAAAGAGATTGCCATTGAATACATTTAAAAGGGGTTGAAAGGCAAGAATAACTTAAAAATCGCATCAGATAGGTGCAGGGATCCTGTATAAAGCTAACATAACAGATTTTACAAGTTCCTTAATATGGAGTTCTGCAGAAGCTGATGTTAAAAAATTTTACCTTTTATTGAAAGTTGTGTGAGAAAATTTGCTCTCATGAAACTAATTCTAGAATATCAATTGCTTTGATTCTTTTCTATTCTTTTTTTCCCCTTTTTTTGCTATTCCCAATGGCTCTTGGTCATTTGGCCAACTAGTAAAATGGTTGCTTTATGAACACATTTGAATGTATTTTAATGTGTTGTGGCATTTGTTTTTTAGTTAGCTTGTTTATTTGTCTCTTCATAAAAGAATATTTTAGTCAGCTAAACATGGTACTTCTTGTTTAATTGGTTTTCATTTTTATCTAATCTTATAATCTCAATTCTTTATGGACAATAATTTCAGGTTTTAAGACAGTTACAACATTTTAGCAAAAGTTGCCTAAGTTGAACAATCATACTTTTTTGGTGCATTCAGTATAAGATGGAAGATGGATTGTCAAGTTCTTGGGGTCCTGTCACATCCACCGACTGGTGTGAGAAAAACTATGTTCACTCATCTTACATTGCAGAGCTTTTCAACACAATATCCAATGTCCCGGGTATTCTTTTGGCACTTATTGGCCTTATAAATGCCTTAAGACAACAATTTGAGAAGAGGTTTAGTGTCCTTCACATATCTAACATGATACTTGCCATTGGGAGCATGCTATACCACTCCACACTACAACGCATGTAAGTATTCTTTTCACTTCTGGCACTTGCATTGCCATTTTCCCAAAATGCTTCAGATATTAGATGAATGCCTCAACAATAGAGATCCAATATTAGAAAATATTGTTCTTGTATGTTTGATTGGAATATCGTTTTTTTCTTGTTTGATTGATTTAAGGGGGCATTTGGTTCGGGGCAAAGTAAGTTCTTGGCTGGAATCTTACTATTTGTAATTTGATTTACGGAATGTGATTTCTAAGATTTTTTTAATATTCCTAACAGTATCAAAAAATGAGAAAGTAGGGGGAATAAAAGACTCTCATCTCCCTGAGGTATTTTTAGATTTCAAAGGGAAAGTAAAAATTGTCTTATTTGCTCTCACTTAATTGTATTTGTAGACTATATTATCCTTTCTAGTCTCTTAAAATTAGAAAGTAAATGTAATTTTTGTTATTTATAGTTTCAACAAGTACTACATTTGTAAGATAAAAATGTAGTAAAATTTGAAACTATATTGTTGAAATTCTAGAATTTTAATAAAGATCGCGTTTTTAAAATGAAAAACTTAGCGGATATTGAAATTTTATTCTTGAAATTCTGGAATTTTAACAAAGATTATGTTTTTAAAATAAAAAATGTGATGAATGTTAAAACTTTATTTTCGAAATTATGGAATTTTAACAAAAACTATGTTTTTAAGATAAAAAAAAGTAGTGAATATTGAAACTTATTTTCGAAATTTTAGAATTTTAACAAAGAATGTTTTTAAGATAGAAAATCAAGTAGATGTTGAAATTGTATTTTTGAAATTCTAGAATTTTAACAAAGACCGTGATTTTAAGATAAAAAAACATAGTATATGACTAAAATTTCATTTTCAAATTTTCAAAATTTTAACAACGATCATGTTTTTAAGATAAAAAATGTAATGAATGTTGAAACTTCATTTTCGAAATTCTGAAAATTTAACAAAGATCGTGTTTTAGGGTAAAAAATGTAGTCCTTGTTGCTACTTCTAATGAAATTAAAATAACACGTAAAATATCTTTACCTAATATTATTATATATAGAATCTAAAATACAGTTACTTAATTTTTGTTGATCCGTGTATTTTTTCTACATAGGGACAATTAATATTAGAATAGTAATTAGGATTGTAAGATTATTTATTGAAAATATCCCCAAAAAATTATTTTTCAGAATTTATTAGTTTCAACAAAGATAACGTGTTATTTTCGTGTTACATGTTATTCATATTTCAGTATTATGAATGTCATATGTTATGTCATTAAGGACAATATAATAAAAGAATTTAGTAGGTAATCTTACGTTCCTCTTAATGAAACACAAAAATCTTACATTCCCTAAGTGAACAAAACTTAGGAATCACATATTCCCTTTCAATGTCATTTACTCTCGAAATCACTCTTTCTCTCGAAATCTAAGAATCCGCAAATCAAACACTCCCTAAAGATTTTGTTATTTTATTTGAATGGCAGACTGACACCAAAACTAAAAAAATACTACAGTTAGCTGAAGGTTTTCATTTTTGTTCCAACTTTCTAAAATTAAAATTCCTTCTGTTATCACATGTACATAAGTACTTCTGGAATTAGGCAGAAGAAATGTTTCACTCCTATCTCCAGTCTTAGTTTCAAAAGCTAAGAAAAAGAAGTTATGCCTAAAGCTTTTTTTCTTTCATCTGCTTGCTCCTAGTCCCCAGTTTATTGCTCCATTTGTTCCATGGTTCCTTTGGCATATCTTTTCAAGGGTATTGGACTAATGCCTAAATTTTGATGACCTTTCCCACATTTTTTTGCCTGCTCAAGTTGGCATGAAATTTTGAAAGGTTCCAGAGGCTATATTTTCAATATCTTATGGAACATTTTTTCTTACTCTTCTGCTACAGCTATATTTGTTCTGCCTTTTACATCTTTTCTTACACTTCACTAATTTATTGAATATTTGGGCTTTATATTTCATCAGGTTGCTTTTGAATACTTCTTATGAAATTGTCCCTTTCTTTGCGACATTTAAAATGCATTTATTACTTAAGAAAGAGGTTTTATGTCTTTTATTTTGGTCTTTTGTCCTTAAAACTTGCTTTTGTTCTCATTTATTTCCATCATTGAAGGGTGATCCTACTTTGCCTATGCTTTGGTGTATGATACTGAAAAGAGCTTATGTGCACCTATGGAAAATGAACTTGAGAAAACATTGCTTACGTTATGTAGCTTTATGAATTAAGAACTTAAAAAATCAGTTATTTGTTTGCCAAGTTGATTTAAAATGTGAAAATTTTCAATTTATTTTCAGGCAACAGCAAGGTGATGAAACACCAATGGTGTGGGAAATGCTTCTATATTTTTACATCCTCTACTCACCAGATTGGCATTATCGCAGTACAATGCCTATTTTCCTGTTCTTTTATGGAGCTGGATTTGCAGTTGTCCATGCTATCTTCCGCTTTGGAATTGCCTTCAAGGTGCATTACATCATTCTCTGCCTTCTCTGCATCCCTCGCATGTACAAATACTACATCTACACTCAAGACATCTCTGCAAAGCGACTCGCAAAGTTATATGTAGCAACTTTGTTCTTGGGGAGTATTTGTTGGCTTTCTGACAGGGTGTTCTGCAAGGAGATTTCAAGTTGGTACTTCAACCCTCAGGGTCATGCTCTATGGCATGTCTTCATGGGCTTCAATTCATATTTTGCCAACACATTCCTGATGTTTTGTCGCGCTCAGCAGCGAGGATGGGATCCAAAAGTCGCCCACTTCTTGGGTGTTTTCCCTTACGTCAAGATTCAAAAACCAAAGAGCCAGTGAGAAAGCAAGCTTGCTGCACCAGTTATTCTCTCTTCCACCTTGCTACTCCCTCACTCTGATTTTTGGCAGTAGGTGTTGTTTATGGCAGCTCACAGGCATAGAATTCACAATATTTTTTTACCTTGTGTCTTAAAAAAAGGATGTAAATGATAGTTTAATGTTGATATTATTGGTGAGACGTTGGTTATTTTTACTGTAACACTAGTGTTTTTGCCCATCAAAAACACCCTTTCCCATCCCTTAAAATCATGTGTGGCTTTCACTTAGATATCATGGATTTGGACACTTAGTATTACAGATATTAGTTTAATGTATTTGTGATGGAAATAGGAATTTTTTTAATCTTTTATTCAAGTTCTTAGAATTTGAATTATATATTAATGATTTAATTTATTCAATTTTGAATTTGTCTCTCATGCAAGAAAAGTCAGACAAAATTCAATCCCAAACACTATCTTTTGCTTTATGGATTCAAAACCCAAAAACCCAATTTGGGTTACATATGATCATCTAAAAGCCCTAGAATTAAAAAGTCTAAGACATAGGACGACTTTTCTTGTTGTATGGGCCTAAAAACTTTTAATCCAAATTGCAATTCAATGAAAAGCCCTAATCTATTCATCCTTCCTAGTTCTAGCTGCCGATTGGCAGTGGCGAGGCGACAAATCAGAGTTACAACCAGCCTCTTCCGTCGCCATTCTAGGGTGCAGCCGAGTTCAAGTAACAGAGGCCAATGTCAGCAGAAACGTCAAAAAAATCTGGGCCTCCTAAAATAGTTACGCTGAATAACGCATTGAAACTGGTAAAAATCTCTTTCGCTTTTGCTTTTGATAGTAGTGATGATATTGATGAATGTTTCATGGTTTTCAAGGAACTGGTTTTAATGATTTGGGTTTCTTTTTTTTTAACTATGTTGAAGTCTAATTCATGATTCAATAAATCGTCTTTGGTGATTAGCTTGTTAGAAGCAAGTAATTTGTGTTTGGGTCTGAACATTTGTGATTGAATGGCACTTGGCATGAAAATATTAGCTGTTAGAGCAAGAAACTATAGTATTTTGTTACACAAGGCTGCTGTCTGGAGATAGGAGAAGGGGTTGCAGAGGTACCGGAGACCTACTGAATGCCACCTTAAGAGTGGCTTAATGATCCAACTGAGCTAAGTTTAGAGTTCGAAAATATAGTACTTTTTTACTAATATATAACATGAAGATGTAGAGATTTTCAGAAATTATTGATGTTTCACTTATGATTTGTAACTATGGCTTGGCTTCTTCTAACATTTGACTGCTTTTTAATTAATCCCAGTAACATGCATTGTGCCATAAAGACTTGTCTCAGTTGCAAAGACAAGGTCTTGGATTCTTTAGGCCCAGGTTTAAGTCCTACCATGTTTTATTTCAGTCCAATCTGTAGTGGTTGGTTGGGTTATTCCATTGGTTTCTGGATGTAATAATTTGTCATATATGTTGAGGATCGAGTGATTATGATTGTAATTTTTACTTATATACGTAAACTGATTGGAAAGAAAAAGTTTTGGTAATAATAGTGATGATGGAATGAGCTTCTTATCTAAGAGTCATTGTTTGTTCTTTCATTTTGCAACTGTCATCCCGTTTGTTATTGATATGAGTGATACGCAGGCTGAACAATTTGTTAGTAAAATGAGTGGATCTGCTGAAGATGAAGCAGTGGAAGTAGAACCAGAAGGTCGGCCAGATAGGTCAGTGTGGCTCCTTTCTATCATAGCTGTATCTTGTATTCATGCACCATCTATTCTAAAAATATTTCTGATAGGTTTTTAACAGGCTTGGACTAGGAGCAAAAGTTCCACGTCAATCAAAAGTTGGACCCTTTAACGACCCTGTTGAGAGAAAATTGTATGCCAAGTTGGATGCTGGAAAAAGAAAAGCATCCAAAAACCGTGAGTCCACCTTCCCTTCTGATAGGGACAGAGTCGATGAAGATGATGAGGATGAGGATTTAGAAAGCAGAAGTAGTGCATTTTCTAGGAAGAGAGCAGTTCCTCTGACTTCACAATTACATGAAAAGAAAAAACAAAAGTGACTTGCTGCCTTGAAAGGCCTGAATGTTGCAAAATACTACTCCTAATGACTTGCAAACACTTTTCCCCAACGGAAATATGTAAGAAAAATCTTTTGTTCCTGTGATCAATGTGTTAGCAAATATATATAATTCTTGTATGTTAAGAAGTTTTATTATAATGGACCTTGTGTTTGTCTTTGGCCTAATCTTAGTTGAATCCCTGATAGCATATGAATTGAACCATGAGTATTCATCTAATTACAGCCTTGGGAGGACCGTCGATGCCGAACCATAATTTAATCAGAGTTAAGGCATATCTGAAGCTATACAGGTTGTGCCTAAATAATGGGAGAAAGCTCCGTCTGTTGACTGACTGGAAAGATCCCCCATCTCAACTAAAGCTGGGCATTTGGTGAAATATGACTTGGTCCTCTTTGGTAATTCAATGGGGTTCACTGTCTTTGGTGGTTCCAAACGAATGATTTTGTTTGAAAACGTTTTAAATGCCACTTTCTTCCATTAATGGCTTTGAATTTCTTGTGTATACGTGCAAGATATTGACAATGGGTTGATAAAGACTAAGCCAGCCAATGGTGGTTGTGGCAGTTTTAATAAATGATTGGTTTGCACTTCTTTGATGTAGGACCATGCTTTACCACTTAAGAGTTATATGTTGAGTGCTTCTTAGTTGTCAACGTGGGCATAATGGCATGATGATGATACTCTGGTCCTCCATGGAAGATTGGCGGTTGGTTGGGCACCAACTCAACCGTTATAGTCAAATCTAAAAGCTGGAAACCACAAAATTTGTGGTAGAAGCAAGAAAAATAATAAAAGCTTGATGTTCGGTTTTATTATCATTTTCAGCAAGCATTGCTTGTTACAGGTACATATATCAGGCTATGAAATCCTACCCCATTATCAGTGTAGTCATAACTTCACTCATAAACACTCACAACTCTAAATACTGAAACACACAGATACAAGAGGGAAGAAACCAGTTAACCAAACCCAAAAATGAATGAAATCAATTCAAAGTGAAGAGCACACCATCCACACAGTCAATACACACCAAACTCCACAAATTCTACAATGAGAAATAACAGTTTTCGTCACTTACACCGGGTGAAATGCACTGATTCAGATGTAAGAGTATATTCATTGATTAAAATTAACCCAGAAAGGCCTTTGAAATCAGATGTTTCTTGTTAATTGTTGCGAGGAGCAGTTGCAAAGGACCTCTGCACATGAAATAGGAAATACTTCGCGGTTGCTGCTTTGTAGGATCACCTGGTTAATGGTTAATTGATGTATTTTGAATGGCAAGGTTAGAAAAAAGCCATAGCATCATGCATAAAACACTTTAAGGAGTGTTAAATGAAGTCCCTCTTACTTGTTGGGATGTCATTGCCCATCCTTCTATTGCAGAGGACTTGATTAGCTTGCTTTTCTCCCACTCTGACCTGACGTGAGGTGCGTTATTGGTATGAAGTAAGAACAAAACAGAGTCAGTTGCCTTTAACAAGTTGATTACACTCTTGTTGTCCTTGTGCTAAGCTGGAAGCACAGGATATTCACATTCCAGACTTTCATTTACATAGCTTTTTATGGTGTCTTCCACTAAATCTTCAAGGATGGCTTCACCCATCTCAACACCAATACAATCAGTGTCAAGTCGAAGGTCCATCCATGTTCCTGTCTTAGCCATGTCTTTTCTGACTATCTGGTCCAAAGTCCAAGGCAACGTCATTGGGAGCAAATGCCAATAAACTCCTTGCCAGACCTCTTGAATGCTATTTTTCAAGTTTGGGATGGGACGGATATTGGGTTTAACAAATGACACTCCAGGGGAACCAAAATGGTACCCACAAATCTCCATGAGAACTTCATTAATGCAATCAAAGAGCAGCTTTTGGTCATGACAAAGCCGGTTGGGCAAGTATTCTATCTCGTCAAGCAACAATGGGTTAAGAAGTAGGTCTGAAGAAAGGGACCTGATGTAGAGTTCATCCCAGTTGAAGCTAGAGGCTTGTAGCACTGCTTTTATGTGCTCAAATATTGATTCCTTATCATCCATACAAGATTTAATACGATTACTGAGATTTATGGCTAAAGAGCCATTTTCTTCGAATAGAATTCTTATTGGTTGTATGGATGTTTCACCTGAAGATTGGTGAACAAATTGGCATTAGAAAAAATGTTGCAAACAAAGTTAAAAATAAATATAGACTGTGAAAACAAACAAAAGACATCTCTTTATGCCTACCAGAATGAGATCTGATGCTTGCAGGGCTGATAACATCATCGGCGAATATTGGCTCAAGAACAGATACAGGACTTGGCCGCTCTTGTATATCAGCAACACTTTCTAGACATTCAACATTTTTGGTGACTGATGAGTTTGATGGAGATGCTAATGGAGAAAATGGCTGTTGGTCCTCTTCAGATGAATCCTGGAGATAGGAAAAAAATGGTTAGATGAGACATAACATATACAGAAAAGTCAACAAAATGGAAGAACGGCATGATACATGGAAAAGCCTCTATTTTCATATGAGGAATTTATCTCTTCCTTCAACATAATAATAGAAAATTAAGACAATATCAAATGTGCCATATCTTTTTCCATCTTCTGAGATTCATTGAAAAGCATAGGCAGCCTGTATTCATCGTTCTGAGCTTATTCTTAATCATATCACAATCTATGTACCAGCATGTGGCAATACTTTACCTGTTTCAAGCATTGAGGATATTGTTTTTCATCACAAACTTCACATATATTAACATTTTTGTCATCTGTAGTAAGTGAAGAGTCACTTTCAGAAGAAGCATTCAAGAGCTTGATTTCTTTCTGATCCATCATTTTAGTTTCTTTAACGATACTCACAGCACCTGCATAAATTTTATGAAGGTTAAATATTAATAACCTGGATATTCATGATTCTCATCATAAATTAAACAAATGCAGAACAATACCTTCAGAACTTATTTCATCTTTAGTAGAACATAATTTTAGATCGTCTTTGTCATCATTCATACAAGTGTCAAGGTTGCTTGAAATTGCATTATCACCTTGGACTTCATTACAGGTTTTGTTATCAGAAATACAAATCTGGCTCTCTGTCTTCTCTGCTACTTGACTTAGATGGATGACATGGTTGTGTTGATTGTTTTCATTCACCTTCTGAAATTTCTCAGGGTCAGCAAATCTCATCTGCGCAGTTATAAAACTAGGCTCCCCGTTCCTCTCAGGGCTGCAAACAGGGGATAAGTTATACTCAGGAAGAGAAAGAATCCTCCCTAAGGTTTTTGAAACCTGTCTGCTTGAAAGATCCACATTTTCATCCCCAATTGTTAGCATCTCAGAGAGATGTTTCTTTGCCTCAATATAGATGTTCGAAATCCTTTGCTTGGGAAAATCAGTAGTCTCATATTCAGTACCCATTTCAGAGCCTTTTAGCTTGCTTGTCTTTTCTCCTTTTTTGACACCAATGGAAGGTGTGGCAACTCTTTCAATAAAGAAGTGGTCTTTAGTTGGAGAATTCATACCAATATATTCCTTAACTCCTCCACTTTCCCCTGAATTTTGACGCTCACCAGGAAATCTTTTGGATATACCATCAGTGGGGATTCCATGTTGCTCCCTTCCCACAGCATGTTTCAACTTTCGTTTTATTTCAGCAAGAAAAAAGTAGGAACCAACTTTCTCATTTGGCTCCCTATGTCTGATGATGTACTGAGATTCTGATGATGCGCCAAGGCTGCTTCCTGTTTCAGGAGTTTGCAAGCTTGTTGGCCCAGGCTTCAAAGTTAAAATTTTATTTGAAGTTTGAGAAACCTTATTTCCATCAGATAGGTCTCTTTCCTGAGTCTTGGGTTTTCGTCTAAAGAAATTACGCTGTTTTCTATTAACAGGCTCATTGGATTGTCTTGAACCAACAGGCTCCTGCTCCGAAAAGTTAGATCCCGCAAGAGGCTTAGATTCTTTGTCCTTTAATTGAGCATCTGGCAAGTTTTGAACACATTTCACCAACAATGAGTTTGGATCTCGTAGAAGTTTCGAAAACAATTCCTCATCTAAACTCAAAATTTGAAGTGCATCCATGACTTCTTTTGAGGCTTGGAGTTCTCCATCTTCAGTAAGTTGATTCCTGTTAATGAGCTTCTGACTCACTAAGAACTTGATTGCCTCACTTAATCTTTCTTCGAAACCAGAACTCTTCTGGTTTGGCTGACCATCAGCAGGCTGGTCATTATTCACACAACTGATTCCGTTCTGATGGATTTTTTGGTAAACCTCTTCCATTAGACTGTCTATATCAAGATTGCATGTAGTTTGTTGCTCTGATTTATGCTGACAAGATGCTTCTGATACCAAGGTCTTGGTAGCATCCATATCAAGACTGCTACCAGAACTTTTCCTGCAAGTTTTGTTTCTTCGTTTCCGGCTCTGCCTTCCGTTGTCTCCTTGCCCAGAGTCAAACTCTTTTGCTTCAACTTCGGTATTGTTTACCTCTTTCTTTGCAACCTTCTCTCCAGACATTTCTTCTTCTAGGAGTTTCTTCATGGTTGGCTTGCATGCATCAGTCCCTGTTGTTTTCTCTTCACCATCCTTAAAAAAAAAGAAGAAATAGTAATATCAATAACAAATAAAAAGCTTACTCCATTGATGAATATCTTCCTCTTACAATAACTCTGCCTTTCTAATGAATATAACGCAATTTTCAAAAGTATGTTCGATTTGGGATAAGTTTCAAAAAACTTACAAGAGTTCCTGGACAATTATCACCTGAATTAAGTTTATTTCCTGAATTTCCCACACCTACAAAGTTGAAGAGAAAATGCAGCATTAAGGAATATTTAAAACATGGACCAAAGAAAAGCAAACCAAATTTCTAACTACAAAGAAAAAAAAAAGAATTATTGTAGCAGGTTTCCCCTGCTTCTTTGGATTAATGAAATACAGCTTTAAACAAAAAACTACAAAAAATAAAAAAATGGTCTCAGATTTAGTGATACGAACACGCCACATTATCTCTTAATGCTAAAGGGAAATCTAAAAGACCATTTATAATTACTTTGCAGCTTTAAATAGAGCTCAATCCACATGCATGAAAATGCTTCAAAGTTTCTTAGAGAACTTACCAACTGCATTTCTGTACCCACGCCTTATATCAGAAAGCAGTCTCTGAGTTGATCGACCATGGCGGAAATCAAACATACTAATCAAGCCCCACATACAGCCCAACTGATCCTTTTCATATCGCATAAGGCATCTATTTGATCTTTTGGCCATGATAGTGTGGTTTTTATTAGAGATTATAATGCTTTGATACTCGAAAATTTTTTGTCCAAAGCAGACTTGAAATCTGATAAAAAGATAGAATCAGCAGTTAGCAGGATATGTTGATAGCAGAAGTGCAAAGAGACTATGTCAGAAATCTTGTAATTGCAGAAAAATTTAACCTTCACAACAGATGAAGAATAAGCAAAACAACTAGAGAGTTACTATTAAGTAAACAAAATGTTTCTCTTGAATTGTTAGCCTCAGCTCTTTACAAACTTCCTATGATAATCTGTTTAACTGAATGTTTCACACTAGAGAACAAGCTAAGAGGTGAAGAATCATTACGGTCAGCTGGGAACAGAATCTCCTTACAATCAGATCAGCCCAAATTTCACATGGTCAGCAGAGACTCTTGACATTGATTATGCAGAACCAGACATTTTCTTTAACAGATCAGCTTTTAGATTCATCAGTTTGTAATTTTCCTATAAAATTGGTAAACCCACTTTTCCTTTAAGCCTTTTTGATGCAAATATGGCTCTGATCTCCCTCATGCAGCACCTAAATCCTAGTCAAGCAGTGTCACATAAACACTTAATCATTTTTAACCGAAAAGAAAAGGTTGCAAAATTAGAAAGCTGATTGATTTGATAGAAGAAGAAATGCATGTACCTGAAATAAAGAGTTTCTTGAAATTCGATACCACCAAGAAGTAGGAGAGAGCAGCAGTCAAAATGTAGCTGGATATTTAACCATAAAAGTTAAAACTAACAACATTCCAATTTCAACAACTAAAGTTTCCCAAACAGCGTAAACCACAAGGTACAAACCCAAAGCTTTTTTGGATACCAAGGTATCAAACCTGTCTTTTTACCTCCACAAGCCTTAACCAACCCCTCAAGTTCTCAATAAAGGACTCAAAAAAAAAAAATTTTTTTTGCTTTTTTCTTGGATCTTCACTTCAACGAAAAGATCAATTGAATTGCAAGATTACAGATTGATGGCACCTCAAGGATTCATTTCCCAACTCTTCAATCAACAGAGAACATACAAAGTAATCAACTCGGGAATCGATCAAAGCCTTGACTCTCCTTGAAGCTGTGCCTTTGCATGGCCTAAAGCTGGATTGCCACATTCACAAACACACAGAAAACAACCAAAAAAAAAAAAAAAACAAAGCCAGAATTATTCTATTTCTGTACAACAGAACGAAGTCCTAAAAAAACTGAACAGTTTCTTTTTGCCATTATAAGTGAAAAACTCCCATTGAAAGCCATGTTTCCAACTACTTGAAACAACCAAATTCTCACTTCTTCCAGGAATACCAACCAAGAACCAATCTTTCTATAAACATCCGAATCAGTTCTCTTGAAAATTCTGACGGCAGACAAATTAAGACAGATTTTTTTCCTTTTTTTGTGTGGAAATTCTACTTCAATCTCAGAAGCAAGCTCCAAGCTCCCACCAATAAAAAAAGAATAAAAACTCAAGAAAATCTGAGGTATAGAAAAAAAGAGCAGTAGTAATAAGAGAAAAAACAAGGAGATTTTGATGGAGGTGGCATCTTTTGACAACCAAAAAGAAAAGATGGGAGCAGAGAAAATGCCTTATCTGGCACCGACCCCTGATTTTTTATGAAGAAAACTGAAATGGACAGGCAATATAGAGTGGAGAGAAAAGAAAGAGTAGAGTCGTATAGGATGGAAAGAGAGAGAAAAAATGGGAAGGAAAGTGAAAGTAGAAAAAAGAGCTCAACGCATTACAATGTTCTTGTTGGCCAAAGACGAAAGAAGATTGAATAGAAAGAGAGCAGAAGAAGTAGTCCGCAGTTGGGAAGAGAATACGTGACAGTTGGGGTTACGTTTGATGGAATTGGACCCCACTTCGAAAGCAAAATTCAGAGAGAGAAAGAGAAAGCTTTAGCCTTTATGTTGAAGAAAACTCTGCTCTCTCCTCAACTCCTGTTTCTTTTTTTCTTTATTATTAGCATTAATTTTGGGGGGGGGGGGGGGGTTTGTTCATCTCTGCACTGCAGCTGCAGTTCCTTCCACATTGAAACATCATCAAAGTCACCATCGGCAGTTCTGTCTTCACTCCTATCTATAACTTTCTTTTCCTGGTAAAAAGTGTAAAATTCTGTCACCAACGCCATATATTTTTTTTATTTTTCTGTAATTCTGTCTCTCTTTCTTATATCTGTTGCTGGCAACTTGGCTGCCAATTGCCCAGAAATTGTCTAATATTAGCATGGGTCATGGATGGGTGCGGGTTGGTGTCCACTTTCCACTTTTTCTTCGTCTCCAGAGAAATGCCTGCCCTGGTGTTGCTGAGAAATGAGAAATGCAAATGTATAGGACAATTTTCAAGCAAGGATAGGGAAATCTAATAAGGCCGAAAATTGTACAAAATAAATGTGACCTATTAACTATACTCACCTCTCACATTACCTGTTAATAATTTTATACAAAAAATATAAGTGATAATTTAAAATATGATACAGTAATATATTATGAATATAATATAAAAATAAAATATAAATGTGATATAATTTAAAATTTTAATATTAATTATATATGAATTTAATAAAAATAAAAAAAATTTATATTTTTATATCGATAAAAATTATAATACATAATTTTTACATAAATTATAATATAAATATATAAATTTTAATATTTTATATGATACGAAATTAAAGTCAATGAATTTGATATGTTATGGATTATATTTTAAATTATATTTTAAAAATCTGATGTCCGTGCTAATCTTGAAATAAAAGACCCCACCTCACTTTAAACTTTTGGTAACCGCAAAAAACTTCATATGGGAAAGTTGTAATTCTCATATTTCTAATTTGTCTTATGATTAACAAAATATTCAGCTGTCTTGAAATGGTATTATTCAAAAGTAGAAGCAAAAGAATGTTGACACACGAAGATCTTTAACTTTACGGGTGAACTGAAAAAATTCAAAGAAATATAAATAAAAAAGTACGGAATTTTCCTCTTTCTATTTTGTCACGCGTGAATCACGCCGAATTTAGTCACAAAATAAAACAAATAACAAATACAAAACGCGCACGAATACAATTGAAAAAAAAAACCACAAAAAAGGAAATGGGATTATATCGTAATTGTAACGATGAGATTAAATAAAATAATTTAATATCATAATTTAAAAATATATTTTATTTTAATTTTTTAATCTCCAACTAAAAAGATAGTACAATTGAAAGCCCTTAATAGCACCGTTGAGATGCTATCCATGTACTTCACGATGCAATTTGGGTTAAAAAGGGGTTTGGATCCACGGCGACAGATGCAATAGAATTCAAATGCACCATTAATAAAATAAAATAAAATAAAATATTATATTTAGTGCTTCATAATTATTATTGTTTTGAAAAGTATAACATTGAAGTCACATATTTTATCCTTGCAATTCTTTGAAAGGGGAGCTGCATGTTATAAATAATATGAAATTGTGGTGGTGGAAACCACCGATCAAATCTGCTTTTGTTCCTTGTGTTTGACTCAATAACCATTATAATGGTAATCATACTTAGTTTTTGAATTCAAATTTCCTCTTTTAACTAATTATTATTATTATTATTATTATTATTATTATTAAAAGTAAGGTTAAAACTACGAGGAAACTTGAAGTTATGTCACCATATTAATTGTTTAATGGCATCTCACAGCCGACTTATATGCAGGTTGGAAAAGCTGGCTGTTGCCATAGTCGTTCGCTTGATTAGATAGGGTCATGCTATCTGTTAGTAGTTTATAACGTTGGTGGGTAACCAATCCCACATTGTTTAGAAAAGTCAAGTTAATTTCAAGAGTATATAAAGCAATTTTATTTCAGAATAATTAATTTTTGAAAATTATAATTGTTCTTGATTGGTTGCGTTATAATTCTTATTAAACATACAACTCTTACATTTTTAAAAGTTGCATTTTCCTATCATTTTAGTTATTATATGCTTAAAGTTAGAGAAGACAATCTAACTTAGATTTGGCATGTTTCAACTTAATTTGACTTTTTATGATCGATTTAAAAAAAAATCGAATATCTAATTGAGTAACATAAAAAAAAATTAGAGGTAAGATCGGGATTAGGTTTTAGGTAAACCCGATCTTATCTAACCATATATATATAATTATTTATTTAATTTTATATTTATTTATATATTTATTTAATTTTATATTTATATTTAAAAAATAATATTTTATATTAAAATAATAATATTTTATTAATTTCGAGTAAAATTAAATCGAGTTTAAATATAAAAAAAATTTATCGAATCAAATTAGATTCGAAGCAAACAAATATCTACTTTCACTCAACCCGTTACCATCACTACTTAAAATGCTTAAGAATTTGTTGTATCCCGTATTTATTATAAAACTTTTAAAAAAGTGATTTTATGCCTTAAAGTTAACATTATAATTTTTTAAAATTTGAAGGTTGATTTAATTAATTTATATGATCATATTAAACAATAGTATTTAAAAATTTTGAAATATAAATTTTAATCGCGATAATCTCTCTCTTGCTCTTAAATTATGCCTCCTTTATAAAAGTAAAAAAAAAAATTATAATTTCTTATTCTCCATTATTTTTAACACGATTGGGTCCTAATTTAGTTTTCCTTTTTTTTTTAAGTTTTTCGACATTCTTAATATATAGCAAAGTTGTATAAAATTTTGAAATTAATTTGGAGATATTGTATATACTTTTGTTTTTATTCATTTAATCCTGTTACAGTTGGAACACTCTAGCATTATTCGATTACAGAAATAAAAAAAAAGACAAGCATTAGTTTATACTTTGCCATGCAAAACTTTTTTTTAATGTATTAGATGGAAAATAACCTTCACGTTTAGTCATTGTTACTTAGAATTAGAGTTGAAGGCCAAATGATGGCAAATGAGCTAATAACATTTTGCTCATGGTTAGTAATTATGTAATTACAATGAGAATGAATTGATTGAGACATAAATTAGTTAGTAGCTAGGACTCTTTCTTTATAAATTGTTGGAAAGTTTAAGCTACAAGTTTTCCCTAAATTTTTTTATAATTTTAGATGTCGCAAACAAAATGATATGTAAAAAAATATGAAAGTCATACAATTTAAAATTTTAATAAAATATGTAAATGAATTTAACAAAAATAAAAATATGTTTTATATTTGACATTATTGGAGGCATTGTGGTCTTTTCTTCATATTAGAGACTGTCAACAAATAGTATAGAGTGTTTTAAATATTTTAGTTGATTTAATATGTCATGTCGATTTAATATATTCAATGTCACATTAATTTAATTACGTTATTGTTATTTTCTACAAATCCCTTGACTTTTACCTATAAGTATGGATATTCAGTTACTATCATTCCAAGTTTCATCTTATTCTAATTTCTTACTTTTTTTCTTTTCTGATCGCTTTTATTTTAATATTTGACTTACGCATTAAAATGTAAATGTAGAAGAACACTTTTTACTTTTGTATCTAATCGTTCTCTTTCTTTTTTATTTTTTCTTAGGTCGAAGCTCGTATTTTATGATATAATAATTTTTATATTTTATATATATTTAATACGAAATAAATATGACATAAATATATAAATTATCATATCTATTTAAATTTTCTAAGAGAGATAAGGACAAAGAACAATTTAATCCCTTTTTTTCTTAATTCATTGTTTAGATTACGTTACCTGAAAAAACTACTAATTTTAGAAGTATCTAATTGTATTAAGAAAAAGGAAAATAAACCCGTGATATTATTTTACTTTTGAAAATACCATTGAGGAAACATTACTCTGATTTTCTTGTCCAAAGGTGAGAAAGCTTTGGAAAAAAAAAAACAAAGAAACAGATTTCCCTTTTATTATTATTATATATAAATCCTAGTTATGGTGCAGATAAAATAAAAGAGCTGGATGCTGTTGTCATAGTCTTGCCAGAGCACCTGAAAAAAAGAAAGAAAACAGGAAAGGTCAGGGGGGATGGCTGTGGGGAAAAGTGAGACATGCAAATGCAAAATGCAGGAAAGCATTGGGTTTTTATGGTTGTCCAAGGCGCATGTGAGGCGGAGCAGCTGGGCCGGCCGAGCCACCCTCGCCTACCCTATGGGTATGAAATAAAAAGCGATGACAAAGATGGGTCCACCTCTCATTTACCAACTCCTACGGTGACTCGCCTCACGGCCCATATGAGACAACAAGCTGCCCCCTTTCTCCTACCACACGTTTTCGCACTTCTCTTTTATATTTGAGATCGAATTGGAATATATTTATTGTTATTATTTTTGTATTATTTAAGATTCCAATTTTATTCGATAGAGATTACGAAAAAAATATAAAAATAAAATTTTATTAATTTAATAATTAAATTATAAAATAAAAAATATATGAATTTTAATTATTGACTTAATAATATTTTTTATTTTTTATAAAAAAAAATCTAACAATCCAACATTTCATCAACGGACACGCAGCCATCGACAATTCCTTCCTTTCTTTGTACACGTAGAACATGTACGCTCAGTAAATACGTCGGTTGCCATTAGAACTTAAATACAATAATTACTCTTTTATAATTTAAGATTTTGAAATAATTAGATATATTTAATTGGTACGGGAGTAAAAATATCTCCAATTTAATTCTTTAAAACCTCTTTACATAAACGTTTCTTCATATGTTAGGTGGATATATTTATTTTTGAATTGAGTAAGAGTCAGGTTCAATTAATTTTGAAACATTTTTGTCTAAAACTTAATCTAATCCATCCAGCCTACTAATAATTTTTTAAAAAATTATTAATATTGTAAAATATAATTTAAAATTAAATTAAATATATTTTTATTAATTTTAAATATTTTCAAATCAAGTTAGGGCAAAAAATTTTTTTTATCCAAAACTTAACCCAAAGTTAAATTTATTATGTCATAATTTGATAATCACGAAACGATGATAT